GCCACTGAGCTAAATCCCTGGCCCTAACAAAGCATTTTTTAAAAACACTAAGCTTGCTCTTAAAATGAAAATATGACACCCTAAGTCCTTTACTACTTACACATTCCTCGTCTCTTTGGCACACTGTAAATCCCACCTGCATTTTCAAGCACTTACTTCACACCTCAGAACTAAAATGTATTTCTATTCCACCCTCTTAATGCAGTCAGTGGTCTGTATATTTTACAAAGTGATACACCTCTTGTTTGATAATTAAGGAGAATTTTAGAATACTGCTTATGTTAAAATTTTTATCTTCTGGCCGGGGATTTAGCTCAGTGGTTCCGCTGCCTGCCTCGCAAGTGCAAGGACCCAAGTTCGATCCCCGGTACCAAAAGAAAAAATTATCTTCCAAGTTTAAGACCTGGAAGGGGGATTGTGGCCCTTAAACTGGCTCTTTCAACATAACTATGTCAACTAAATAAAAAGATCTACATAAGCAAGAGGCAGCTTTAATTATCAGCTTGCTCAGCTACCACCACTTTGCTTGAGAGCTTTACTATTTATAAAAATAAAAGGTTCAGATGTGGTGTGACAAAGCTGTCCACAGCAAAAGGGAAGTAAAGGGGGAGGAGAGGGAAGGACCAGCAGTGTCATGCCACAGCTGTCTTCTGTGGGATTTTAAGTCAATGTTTTAGCAGGAAAAGAGCTAGGGCCATTGGGGAGAGCCAGCATGGATTCTGTAGCTGGCGAAGACACTCAGGTGGCCAGAACAAATGTGAACTCAGCACCTTCTTTCCCTTCATGTTTGTATATGTCAACCCACAAGATTAAATATCCAGATAATTATAGTCAGCTTTCCATATCCTTTGGTTCCACAACTGCAAATTCAAGCAAATGCAGACAGAAAATATTCAGGGGAAAAAATGCATGTGTACAGAACATGCTGATTTTTTTCTTGATCATTATTCCACATACAACAACTATCTACATAGCATTTGTATTGTATTAGGCATTATAAGTAACCTAGAGATGACTTAAAGTATATGAGAGGATATAAGTAGGTTATAGGCAAATACTACAGCTTGAGTATGGTTGAGCTTGAGTGTGGCTAAATTTTCTATCTGTTTAGGTTTCTGAAGCCAAGTTGCCCCAGATACTGAGGGAAAACTATACAGAAATTCAAGAATATGATAAAATGCAATATAAAACTTCTATTTAAACATAGCAAACTTTAGAACAAATAGTTTCCTTCTATTTTGTTTTAACTTGAGGAAATAAAGCCTTAAGTTTACGAAGATTGGGTCTAAGATTGTACTGATCCTGGTTCTATTTCTGGCGGCTCAGTAAACATTGGCTGAATTAATTAGCTAATTGAACAAACTTCTTAATTATGTTCCTGTATGAATGGAATGCCTAAAATTAGCAAGACTCTAAAAGTCAGGGCACCACTTAATTGTGGTATTGCCTTTTAAGACTAGAAAAACTTTTAAAATTAAGAAAAACAATAGTTGTGGCCAAGACACTTCTCTCATTGTGATTCAGAAATATAACTTCAGAATGCCACCCTGGCAAAGATGTGAAATGGAAACTACGTAATTCTGCCGGTATTTTTACAAGTAAATATTATATATTTGCATATAAATCTTAAAAAACCAAACTTCACTGAGCACAGGAAAGAACTAAAATGAGACTGATATTCACATCAGGAGTGTCAGTCTTTAATCTGGCAATTTTTAATTTTCTTTATTTTGTCTTTCCTCTGGCCCACGCACTCCATCCTTTCTTCCCCCCCCCCCATTAAGTTTATTGGTACATTTTCGGTATAAAATACAGTTACATTCATCACTGGGATCTTGTACCATTACATGAGTATCTTGATTCTTATTTTTTTCCCCTTCCCCTGCCTCCCTTCACCCCTCCATCCTTCCCTATTTGCAAAGACTTTGTTTCCATTGTTTTCCTTTTCTCATATTTTTCTTTTCCCTTTTTTCCTTTCCCCTACTCCTCCCACTTCCCCTTCACCTTTAGACCTTTTCTTCCTTTTACACAATATCAATTATACATTTCTTAAATTACAATATCAAGATCTAGAAGACATTACCACAGATTTTACAGAATTTAAAAAAGATATAGAAAGCATATTTCAAAAATCTCTTTTGAAATAAATTTGACAACTTCTAAGAAGTACCTTGGAAGACAAATTAATGAAACTAACTCTGGAGGAAATATAAAATTTGAATAGCACC